CAAATCCCGCAAGTAAATGAAAGTGTCTTTTCTATTTTTTATTTTACTTCATACATCAATAAGGCTGCAACATTCAATACATAGCAAGAACTCTAAAACTGTCGACTAGAGGGCACAATATTCGTTACAAAAGCGGTATGGACAAGAAGGAGGTCATTGACATTATATGATTTTTATTACATATTATCATGTAAACAAATTTCAAACCCACTTGTCTTATCGTCGTTATCACAAATACAACAATTATTTTTGCTCTGTATTATATAATCCAGCGAGGCTAAGCAATGACGACAGGCTAAGGCACATTAATGAACTGCCGTACCTATTTGTTACATTTAATATGTACAATTCTAAAAGCCTTTACAGCACAGCATGCGACGGAAGACGTCGACTGAATCAGACCATAACACACTAGCTTCCCTGATTTCTCGGGAGATTTTCATATCTGAAGAATTAAAAAAATACAGGTCATTTTTAAGATTTACATTTTTAACTTCTTTGTCCTATAATTGCCATCTGTTCACTCTTTAGCTAACCATGTAAAACAGAGAAATATATGGGTGAGAGGTCCTCACTGTCTGTGTCATTTCCTTTCCACCCACGTGTGGATTTTGAAGAGCAAGCGGAAGTGTGCGAAGTTTGAAATCGTCCTTTAATCGGTCAAGACTATTTTTTTACATAGTGAGATGTTGATTAAGATTATTTTCGACTGCATTTTTCGCCGCTTAGTTTCCGAGTAAGTCGCGCGCACTACAATCGGAAAAATAACCAGCTTTTTGAGAGTAAAAAGAAAGAACAGAAAAATGATAATAAAGATAACGTCTGCTCAACTCGATCTGGGCGCTGATTACAAAACAGCGGCAATTAAACTTTCACGTATTTATTGTGAAGGACAAGTTGTGCCTTAAAATTTAACAAACTAAAGTCAACTCCGAATATAATGTGCAAAAGTTGTACTTAAAGCAGGTACATTACTCACTGGTTTTATCAGACATTCCGTTAGCACTGAGCTCCTCGCGATTGTTTTAAAATGGTCGAAAGGGAACAGTTAAGAAAATGACGAGGGGAACTAATGAAAAGGTGAGCACTTGTGTTTTAACAGAGAAAATGGAGAAATCAATTAAGGAAAGAATGACTGAAAAAGACGTGAAGAATTTTATGACCGACAGGATTTCTTATCTACTTGCTTTGTTGTTTGCTTTGTATTTGCTTTCTTGATTCTACAGCTTAATGAGAAACATTGTTTACACGGTTTAAAGGATATCTAAATATAATTGAGTCATATATTTAGACTGTCCTTTTAGAACAGAGTGCGCAATATATGACACAATTCAGCCATCAAAAATTCTGTTCGTTCTTCTGCTGTCAGTCCATTATCGAATCGTAAATTCCTGTAAACAAAAGTTCCCGTAAGTGTCTTTTGACGGCGTAACTAATCAAACATGGATAAAACTTAGCTGTCCCGTCTGAATCCAACTTGAAATGATAGCTTAATCCCAACTAACTAATCAATACATGGCATAACCGATCAAGGTTTATTTTATGAATAAAGTTAAGCTGTCCCGTCTGCACCCAACTTTAAATTTAGATATGTGTTTGACCTTTATCTCTCAGGACCTCATGCGTGACTCGTTTTCATAAAATTTCTACTTTTTTTCATTTATTAGTGAATAGATTTTCATAAAAGGTATCTCATAATCAGGAAACTGTGGAACATGTTAAGAGACGAGTGGTTTTGATTCCGGGGCTTTGAAGCAATATTCACATCTTGAGGGATCACACCTAACTTTACACATCCCCGCGCCGCAAATGCTTGGCCAGCGAAATGACTAACTAGTCGACAAAACTCCTATATGATTGACGTCAGGAGGTTCAGGACAGTGTGCACCATGGTAGCTTAGCCACACACTAGAATGCGACAATTTATCAATTTTTCTTTCTTCCCTTTCGTTTTTTTCTTCCCTGTTTGTTTGGAGTATCTTGATACGCGCTATTTGTTTGGAGTATCTTGATACGCGCTATTTGTTTGGAGTATCTTGATACGCGCTATTTGTTTGGAGTATCTTGATACGCGCTATTTGTTTGGAGTATCTTGATACGCGCTATTTGTTTGGAGTATCTTGATACGCGCTATTTGTTTGGAGTATCTTGATACGCGCTATTTGTTTGGAGTATCTTGATACGCGCTATTTGTTTGGAGTCTCTTGATACGCGCTATTTGTTTTAAGTATCTTGATACGCGCTATTTGTTTGGAGTATCTTGATACGCGCTATTTGTTTGGAGTATCTTGATACGCGCTATTTGTTTTAAGTATCTTGATACGCGCTATTTGTTTGGAGTATCTTGATACGCGCTATTTGTTTGGAGTATCTTGATACGCGCTATTTGTTTGGAGTACTTGATACGCGCTATTTGTTTGGAGTATCTTGATACGCGCTATTTGTTTGGAGTATCTTGATACGCGCTATTTGTTTGGAGTATCTTGATTGGTTAATTCTAACTTGATTGGCTTCCGGGAGAGAGACGAAAGTTGAAACACTGCTGTTGGATCTTCATGGTCTGCAATTGGCTGGTTCTAATTTCCGGTTGTCGGAAGCGTTATTGCATGCGCCTTTATATAATATCAATAATCATGATCTTTACTAAACGTTTTAAAGTTGGAGACCGAAACTTGTGCAAAACCCTCGATTGTGTCTAACTCGAATTTGCCTGACGCATTAGAATTCTCCCCCCCCCCCTTCCAGTACTTAAATACATCACGTTCACTCAATTTCATCAAATAAGCTATCATCAGACTTAAATCTTAAATCTCACACACAAACACTGCTGGTATTAACAGGGTCTACAGGAATGAGAAATTACTGGGATTCGTCAATCAAAGGAGTCACCATTCTCGGTCGTCTCTATCATGGCGGAGATGCATTTACAAATCATTACTTTTAAGGCAGCCGCACGTCAAATCAAACAGAAATCATGAGCCAAATGCCAATCACTGAAGCACCTGGTCATAACTAAACTAACTGGTCATAACTAAAACAAATAAGTCTTGGCTGAGATTAATTTTGCCTCTTGATTTACAACTACTGAGGTGCGTTTAGATAACCGAACGAGAACAGTAGCAGGAAAAGTTTCCATTCCACAACTGGTCTCCACTAACTCTTGTTCAGCGTCCTTCCCTGTGTGCGACAATCTTAGTCTTGCGAAGGGTTTTCAAATGCTGAAATATGTCTGCTGGTAAATCACACGGCAAATGCTGTTCAGGTTAATAACACCGTTGAACTTAAGTTTTTAGCCTCTCTATCTTGCGCTCTGTTAATGTGTGAAATTTCACTTTCAGAGGAAGATAAAGAATAAAACGAAATAATAGGACATCGTTCGAGCCAATCAAAGGCTGAGTTCGCCTTAAGGGGATTCCCCTAAACGTTTAACACAATGCCATCCGGGTCACGATTCTCTCATCACAGAGAGTCAGAGTAATCCCCTTTCATCATTGATTTTTTTTTAAATAATTGTTAGCATTTCATTCACATATTAATCAATTTGTCTCAAATCCCCCCCTCCCCACCCAAGAAAAAAAAAAAAGAAAAGAACTTAAAGAAAACCATTCTCTCCTACGAAAACAAAACAATGCACGGTTATGTCTGTCGTGACTCGGTATAAAAACAGAATACTCAATATAACTGAAACCGTTTAAACTCGGCGCGAAGCGACTGATTCATTAAAAACTTACTGGCTGATTCACCTTTTAACAAAGCGTGGATACAAAACACTTTTAGTTATAACTTGAAGACTACAAAAAGGCTGGCTAGTGCAGCAAAAACTACGTAAAACGTATTTGCGACTGTAACATTTCATATGTAAACAACATTATTGGAAAGGAGAGCTAATGCTCCCTCAAAACACATCGTGATTGTAAGCGGCTTTTTGTGAACAGTAGAAGAAGCTAAATAACTTACATGAGTTCAAAAAAGTCTAAACTTCTGTCTTCTCGTGGTTCCAATCTGTTGACTTGTAGTCTCTGACTGCAAATTGCGAGCGAGGACCGTTACACACCAAAGATTAACATACAAGTCACCAAACATTTTAACTTCAGCTTTCAGATATTCTCCCTGTCTAGGACATGTTTAAAGAAGCGTTGTCTGACCGAAAAACTGCAATTCAAGGCTTTAAAGCCAGCAGGCTAGCGTAGTTCCGAGCTCCACGTGTAAAGATCCTGACACAAGTAAGATGAATATTTAATGTCGGCAGTATATTTGCAATTCAATTCGAACTTTTCGCGTGCCTCGCAATCAGTATTCAAAATGACACCGTGTGGAGTAGGGCAAAATGTTTCTTTTCTGGTGGTGATTTTTATCCCAGAGGTCTAAGATCCCTGTGTCGCGAGAAAATTTGAAAATGTTTTAATTCCTAGCAAATGTTACCTTGTTGGTGGTAGAAATAAGGGGGGAGGAGGGGGGACTAGGGGGATAGGGGGGAGGGGGGACTAGGGGGATAGGGGGAGGGGGGACTAGGGGGATGGGGGGGGTTAAATTGAGCCAAGAAAATATGATCTCCTAATTTAGCCTTAGGCATAATTTTGGGCATAATGCCATGTTTTTAGTGGTGACGCATAACGCTCATGATTTATCTGATCCTACTGTGTACGTGATGGTATGAATCAATTCTTATAAGGTCTTTTTTCTTCTGTCGCCTTTTTTGCATCTTACCTCGAAACTACAACCACCAGTTAAAATGGCTTCGAAATGGCGTATTTTTGTTCCTTTATTTTCAGTGTTATTTAGTTTTATTCCTCCGATCGAAGCAAAATATGTTATTTTACTAGATTAGATTCTGAGTGGAATTCTTCATATTACATACCCTTCCGGAATACAAATATTTTAACGACATCATTGTTCCATTTATATTGTCCTAGCTTAACACTAATCTAAACAAAACAAACTATTTTTCCTGACCTATCAGATTCAGTATAAATTAAGCATGCATATCAATGACACTAAATTATGTCACGCGCTGGTTTGGACCTCAACGAATACATAATCCACTTTGTCAACGGTGCATTGTGATCTCTCGTCAGAAAGACTCGTAGTCGAGCAAATAAGCGTCTCTCTTACGGAAACATGGCCGAAAACGCCTCAAAAGAACCACGCAACACAGCTAAGAGTCCGTACTGCTGGGATATGATGCGGTTACTCGACAATGCCCGCAAAGAAGGTGAATTGACAGATGTTACTATGCGAGTGGAAGGACAAACATTCCCCGCTCACCGATGTGTTTTGGCAGCCAGTAGCCAATTCTTTCATGGTTTATTTACCAACGATATGAAAGAAAAATCGGCGTCAATCGTAAATATCGAAGGAATTCCAGTTTCGGTGATGAATGAGCTCTTGTCTTACCTTTACACGGGAGAGGTTCAAATGAGCGAGGCGAATGTCGATGATCTGATCGCATCCGCGAACTACTTACTACTTCCCCGTCTAAAAAACATCGCTTGCAAGTTTAAGGAGCGGCATATGTCGGCCACAAATTGCGTTGCTACCTTTCTATATGCTGAGAAATACGATTGCAAGGAATTGAAAACATACGCTGGCGAATTAATCAAGCAGAACTTCGCGACGGTCGGCAAGTCCAAGGAATTCGTGCAAATTTCCTGTCATCAAATAAAGGATCTTATTTCAAGCGACGACTTAGTAACTGGAACCGAAGAAGAAGTCTTTGAATTCATTCTAGAATGGATCGCGCAAAATCAAGACGAGAAGGAGCAACATTTTGCGGAGCTGTTTAGACTCGTTCGACTGAGCAGCATATCCGATCAATATTTGTACACAAAGCTTATGTGCCATGAACTAGTGCAGGCAAATGGCGAGTGTAAGGAAATATTAATGGACGAAATTCGCTGGCGTGCCTTGTTCTCTGGACAACAGATCTCCCGACAAAAACCAAGAACTTGTCTTCAGACTCATGAAGATGCAATCATCACATGCGGTGGCCTGTCGCCAGATGAACGCATTCGCAACTTGACTGTGTGTTATGTTCCGGCTACGAAAACCTGGTACGAGTTGGCACCCATGCTTAACAGACGGTTTCGCCATGGTTTGGCTTCCTGTCGGGGATATGTTTATGCCATCGGTGGTAAAGGAGAAGACTCGGTCTACAGCAGCGTAGAACGATATGACCCGCGCACAAACTCATGGGGCTTTGTAGCACCACTGCCTCGGAGAGTGACATTAATGGGTGCAGCTACCTTACAAGGGCTACTGTACGTCACTGGCGGGATTGCGTTCAGTAGCGAGCACGGTGGTAGGCGTTGTGACACTGCGCAGAGGTACAACCCCTCGACAAACTCTTGGACTGTAGTTTCACCTCTAAAGAGACGCAAGTCCTCTGTTTGTCTCGTGTCAGACACTCACTATTTGTACTGCATTGGTGGCTTGGCCGACGATGGTTTCCTCTCTGATGTGGATCGTTATGATCCAAAGTTGAACGTATGGACACAGATGGCTCCGATAGGCGAACAGCGCGGGTGCGCTTGTGGAGTGTGCCTAGAAAAAAAGATTTACCTCTTTGGAGGTACTGTTGACCCATTTTCTTTAAATGCCCTCGTAAGTTGCGAGGTTTATGATATTACTCTGAACGAATGGCAATCAATCGCTCCCTTACAAGTTCCCAGATTTCACGGAAGTGCAGTCCTTTTACGAGATCAGGTATACTTATTTGGCGGAACCGGAAGTCAAAGTGTCGATCGGCAGAATTCTCGTATGGTGGAGTGTTACGATATCAAGTCAAATACCTGGCTCGATGCTCATTCTATGCCATATAATGAGACATACTTCAGAGGATGCCCAGTAAGCATGTTTAAAGATCTACTACAGTCTGTGAACAAAGTTACAACTCTTCCCCAAAGTAGTTAGGTATGTTGAGTCCGTATGACAGTTACCCTTGCGGGTTTTAATGCGAACTTCTACCAGCCATAACTTTTAAAAGCCATCGCAGCCCGCCTACTGACATAAACTCAGGAAAGGATGTTTTCACAGGAAAAAGTTCTTTCTAGATAAATGGAAAGCTTTCCCTCGAAACGTATTTTCATTTCAATTATGAGATGAAAACATTTGTATTTGCGAACTGTCACTCAATTTGGCAAATCTGTTTACGCTTTAATCGAATTGAGAAGGCTTGTCTAACGTATTAGTTAAAAGGAACAGGATCTCATTTATTTCCAAGAGTTTGTTTTAGTATTGAAGGAGTAAGTCTCTAAAGAAACTGCGGTACTGCGTCTGTGAGGGGTATTACACGATAAGTTGGTTT